TGAACCGCCTCCTAGTACTGTTATTGCACTTCGGCCTCAAGTTGCAGTATGCTCTGTCATCATAGTCCTGGAGTCCATACAAGAAAGCAGGTGTGGGAACCTTTTGACCCATAGAAAAATCAGTTGGGGGCCCCACACAAGTGAAAAGAAAAACAAACAAACAAAAAATCACAACCCAAACAAGCCATCACTGATGTGACCCTCTACTGAGAAGGAGAAAGACACTCTACACATTCTCCTAGCACACCAGAGCCTAGTGGAGCTCAGGATAGTAGATTGTGTGTGCACTAACCCCATGGTGGGATGGTGGGGAGGCTGGTCCTCAATGCTGGGGGGAGTCCTGAGCCTCAGGGGCCAGATCCAGAGCCGCATATGGCCCCCGGGTCTTAGTTCCCTACCCCTGCAATAATGCCTCTATATACAATGCAGCACCCTGCCATCGTAGTCCTAGATCTCACATTGCTCTAGCCATGCACCTCAAGCCCCACAAGCACATTTCTTATTAGTTCAGTGCTAGACACCTTCCCTACTGACTAGAAACTGACAACATGGTCAAAACGACAAATGATCTGGTAGCACTTTATAGACTAACAAAACATGTAGATGGTATCACGAGGTTTCTCGGGCACAGCCCATTTCTTCAGATGACCGGAGTCATTCTTCAGATGACATGGTCAAAGTGTGTTGTGGTTCTAGGAGAAGGTGGTTCTTTCATCCACTAGGCTCAAAGGTCAGACTATCAAATGCATAAGCACAACGATTAGAAACAAAATGGGGAAGGGACGGAGGGACACTGGAAGGAGAAGAGGGGACTAGAGTGGGGAAAAGTTCATGTGTTTGTTCAATTTGGTTACAGATCTTCAGAGTTCTGTGGCAAGCCACCAGCAAAAGCTTGTATTCTGTACAAGGAAGTCTCATCCAGTCAGTGCTCTCAGAGGAAAGCCACCTGGTCTCGCCAGCCTTGAAGTCCTCCATTGGCACCAAGATCATTTCCAGGTTAGCGATGTGCTGGTTCCAGGCAGGAATGGGATCAATGTCTGCCTACCAGATTCGGTAGCACGGAGAGATTCTCCTCTTGTGCAAGTGTGACACCCTTGTATGTGGGTTGTGGGGAGACGGTGTGAGATACCAACTAAGCTCACTGGACATAATTGTTCCAGTAGGAGGACTTATATGTTCCGTGGGAGGGAGTGAAGAGAGGAGGGCCTGGCATCACAGGGGGTAAATAAAGCCTTTTGGCTCAGCTAACCCCGCTTTACCTGTAGCCAATGCCAAGCCTGCAGGGAGAATAAAAGGAAAGAGCCTGGCTCAGTTAGGGGCTGACCAGCAAGGAGACAGGAGTGTGGTTCTGCTGTCTGCAGGGCAGAAACCAAAACCGGTCCACTTGGCCAGTCACAGGAGAAAATAAGCCTCCGACTCTGCCCCTGGGACAAAGGGGGAAACCTGCTAGAACCCAGCTAAGGGGAAAATCTGGACTCTGGGGCCACGCCCCAAACTGAAGGACTTTTCTCATATACTGGGCCAGAGCTTCTAGGCTGGGGCACCAGCATCAGGGTTCTGCAACCCTTTTCTGCCAGCTAATTCCAGGACTTAACCACTAGGCCACCCTGCCACCAGGGAGACCTGTCTGCATTCTGTTTTTCATCTTCACAGGACGGTTCTAGTTCATCAGTCTCCCAGATAATCCCAGTTCAGTCTACAGAAGTACAAACACACCCAAAATTAGCTACCTGCCTCTTCATTTTTCCCTTGCCCCATCTGCAATACTAAATCCCCTTCATTTACCACTGGGTCCATGTCACTTCACCATAAGCTACACCATACTCATACCAGTACATGTCCTAACCAGCCCCAGAACAAAGGGAAGGTTAAAAGATGAAACCCTTCTCAAGAGCCTCTTTTCTCTCACTAGACAGAAGCTTGAACTTCTGTCTTCTTCAATGCCTGGTCCTGCAGAGACTCCTGGACAAAGCCTTCAGGAAGCTCTGGCTGGCATACTGGAAAAGCACCATCCCATAAGCATAATTAGCCAGCCTTTCAGGAGAACCTGCATGCGGTGCCCATCGGTGAGTAGCTCCAAACACTTGCAGAAGAATTTTCTTTCTAAAGTCTAGTGTAAAGATGCTTTTTCTAGTGTACCCACGGGGAGAAAAACAGAAACTTGCTCCAGACAGCGCCAAGTAGGCACATGAAATACTTACTGTATGTCAGGTATTCTTACCATTTTCCATTGTTCCCCATCTGATTATAGTGCTATGCAGAGTCCCCAAAGCTCCAGATACAGTTTCAAAATGTTATTGTTCATCTGCAGCACTGACGTAAAGGGCTCTCTGAGTAAAGCCATGGAGTCTGGATAAACCTGGCTGCTGTTAAGTACTTTGTAATAACACACAGAGCCATAGACATTAAAACTAGTGAACTGAGAAAGGAAATGTGGCCTAGGATACTGGGGCTACATGCTGTTGTTTTTGGAAGTGCAATGGGTTCTTTAATAGCACCCAAACAGTAGGCATCACAGATGGAAAGAACCATTTACTGAAAGTTTCATACCAAAGATTCAGAGGTGTAGCCATGTTAGTCTGTAATTTTAAAAACGAGTAGTCTTGTGGCACCTTAGAAACTTAACAAATATATAGAATCATAAGCTTTAATGGGTAAAACCCACTTCATCAGATGAAGGTACCACAGGACTACTTGTTATACAAAGGATTGTTAAACATTATTTCTATTATAGCAGTGCTGAGCCCCATAAAAAGGATAGTGAGAGCCAGCCTCTGCTCCAACAGCTTACAGCTGAAACAGACAAGTATGGGAGGGGAAGCCGGAATGGGAAGAGAGTTGCTCAAGGGCAAGAATGGAATCCACATCTTCTGACACCCAATCCAGTGCACTATCCACTGGACCATGCCTTGTACAAGTTGCCTTATTAAAGTGGTCAGACTCATGATAGCATTCCAGTCTCTCACTGTTCCAGCCACAGCTATTAAACTGTCACTGTACAGCACAAGTTTCCCTCTCATGTCTACACTGCAACACATGTTTTGTACACCAGCTCATTTAAATGCATTTTCTTTGGCTTTGTAATTTTATGGATGGAGTCATTGATCTTAGCCACAAACTTTTCAGTCTTATGTCAGGTTGCTCCAAAGGCAAAACCAGCCCTTTTCTCTATTATGAACTCACTTACTGACTGGTCAGAGGTTGGGTTGTTAAATTTAGATTAATTAACTAATCAAATAGTCGATGGGATTTCCTCTGACTATATAGTCTATAAGGGCGCCTCTGCCTTTGAGCTGTAGCAAGAGCCCTACTAGCAGCAGGGACTCCCTTGCTAGCTCCATGTTCCCTGCGGCGCCTCAGCCTTTGAAATGTACAAGAGCCCCAAAAGTACTTAGTAGCCTGGAGCCCCACCACTTTGAAGTTGTCAGCCCACGTAATACAAGTGGGGTTGGACAGGGTCAGTACAAGACACTGCAGAAGGAAGAATTGCTGTTGATGCAGTAGGTAGTACTCCTCCCTCTGAGTCACTGTTTAATCAGAGCCCCACTCTGATATTGCCAGGGGAAGAGGAAATGATGAACCATTTGCTGCTTGAGACGGATTGTCAATGGCCATTAAGCATCTCATGGAACTTTTTATTAGCTCTGGCCAAATTCCAGCTGGACCATAATATTCTACCTTCCAAAATTCCCCATGCAGTGCTGGGGCACTCTTGTTACCAGTCCTGAATATGTGGATCTTATGTTGCTGCAAACTGTACAAAGGCTGCCAGTGTCCATCCCAGAGACGGCCGCTTTTCAGTGATAGGTGAAATAATCCCTGTGTATATACTACGTCCATTTTGTCCCTTGCTGTGGCACCTATGTACAATTGCCGTGATTGATATGATGAGTGTTTGTTTTCAGCTCAAAAGCTATTTGAAGACTTTTGGTAATAAGAGAGTCAAAATGGATGTCTCCAAGTCGTCAACAACATGGTGGTTCCACAGGTTCATCCATGTTCTGCGGGATGCCAAGAAGAGGGATGTCCTCCAGCTGCTGAGGAAAGCTCCGGAGAAGATGGTGTAAGTAAATCCCGCCGCAGTGACTATCCTTCCAGAAAAGGCTGCAGCTTTTCCTACTGACACCTGTGCAGTGGGCAGTTTCTGGACTCATTTTTAAGCATTAACTACATTTCATTCAGGAAGATATGAAAAGGGCATATTGTCATTCCCATCATCTCAAATGACCAGTCTGAAGATCAAGGACCATTTGTTTTAAGGATGTGGCCTCGGCTTCCAAGGCACCATAAGCCACTAGGATGTCTTTGATGCACATTCAGCACATTTTTAGTGTAAATGCTCTAGTGAATCTTTCAGAATCACGTGCCCCATATAAACGCCCTGCTCTACATATCCCATTCAGTAATTCCAGGACAATGTCATTTTCCACTTCCTATCCTGAACTGTTGTGTGGTGTTAGTGTGTGCTTTTAAAGGCTGCTGCCTTCCACCCAAGAGGTGGTTGCATTTCAGTGGTAGGTGAAATCTACATGTGATTACATATATGGTTCCACTTCATCAGCTGCTGCAAATTAGCTCACCCATGGAGGAAAGCTTCTCTAGGAAAGGCAGCTTGTTATTCATGTTTATAATGTATCCAACTGAAGCTGCTGCGGGTGTTTAACTAGGTAGACTGGACAGCGAGCTGGAATTACCCAGCACACTTTTTAAAAGCTTCTGGGCCAAAATTAGTCCTGATGTCTGTGGGTGCAGTTTCACTGACATCAGTGGAAGTCTGAATTTACTTCCTTATGTAGAATCAGGGGAAACAGGGAAAAGAGATCATATTCTCGGCTGGTATATCAGTGTGGGTTCATTTGATTTTAATGGATCTATACCAGTTTACACCAGTGAAGGATCTGGTCCCATCTCCCCATCTTCAGTTGTACATAGTGCTCATAATCCATTTTCTCCTCTCATTCCAGTCTCTTCTTCATTGATGCTGCAGTGGCTGCCCAGTCAACAGCTTCCTTGGCGGCGCTCTCTGAATTTCTAGATTTTAGCAACAAAAAGCAAGCGCCCCTGCTGGAGCAGTTTCTCTATGCTGCAGCCTTCTCTCCTCGGCCCTCAAAAGAACTTCTGCACCTGGTGCTAGTAAGTCATTTCCTCTCTCCCCTTCTGCTCTTTGGTAATCCGGCTACTGGATTTGGGCTTCATCCTGCTCTGATTAAGTTAATTGGAAAACTCCCAGTGACTTCAGTGGAGCAGGATAATGCTCTTGCAAAGGAGAATGATGAAATGCCAACTTAAGCATTGTGTGTGCATACCTGAAATGGGAATAAACATTCTGAGGAAATGTGTAGCATGGCTTTATATCAGTGAGCTGCAGTCAGTAAAACTTAATTGCCTGCTATGGAAACCAGCATATTGTGGGACTAGGCCATGAATTGCCACCTCTAAGGCAGGTCAGAGTAAGACTGGAGAGATTCGCTCAATAAACCGTGTGGGGTAATAACTAAAACATATTCTCTCTCTCTCTCTTCCCACTTGTCCTGCCTTAATTTTTTACACCCGCTCTCCCAGGATAAGCTGAATGGAAAGGAGTTAGACCCTGCCATCTGGGAAACAGGGATAATTGTCATTGGCTCACTAGCTGGCAAGTTGTGCCGGATGAAGCTGTGTGGATTGCAGGTAGGTTTCCTGACTCCAGTTATTCTTTTTAGACCTCCCCTTTTATCCCATGGCATCTTGAAAATTGTGTCATGCTCCTTTTTCACCCTCTTCTGTTTCTCTCTCCTCCAAATAAACAGGAAGTAGGACTTGGCATGGAAACTGTTCTGAGAAGATTAAGAGAGACCGAGGACAACTCTGAGATAATCATTTACCTGTTGTCCCTGCAGAATGCCCTGCTCCCTGAAACCATTCCTACCCTCCTGCATTATGCAGAGGAAGGGTCTGCTGCAGTCTCAGGTACAGCAGTATCTGCCCTACAAAGGTTCTCCTCTCAGCACATCACTACTGAGGTATGGAATGAGCCTACTTAGAATCAGACCTTTTCCTTATTCTTTTAAAGCAGCCTTCCATGAAACAGCCCAGGTGTCTGTGTCCCAGGAAGTACCTGGGATATAATTCTCACCTAGTCTCTTGATAACTACCAGACATCTCCAGCTTGTGCATCTGGGAGAAAATCCTTCCTTAAGCTTTACCTGCTATTCCCAGAAGTCCCTCTGTCCTGAACCTGGAAGGAATAAGTGGTGTGTACGCTTAGATGCTAGTACAGATTTATCCAAATAGCAGAGTCTCTATGTGATGACTGGACTTGCTGAAACTTGTTCTGCATATTACTGCAGCTGAAATTGGAACCTTTGTGGCTCATAGGCATTAGCCATCTCCAAAACCTAAGTCAGTAGGAAGTGATATATGGTTACTCGTTTTAAATCTGACATGTGGGTATGTCTACACTACAGAGTTTTTTCAGAATGGCCATGGTGGCCATTCCGCCCATAGTAATCACAGTTTACATGCGAGATAGCGTCCAGACTGAATGGATGCTATCTTTCAGAAAAGCAGATCCCTTTTTTGATGCACTTTGGCAGTGTGGACGCATTCTTTCGGAAGAAGTTTTTTCGGGAGATCTCTTCTGAAAGAAGCATGCAGTCTATCCATAGCCTACATCTCAGCATATCTTTCTAATCTCTAGAGGTCTCAACCTTTCTTTTAGAGGCAGCATTCTCCAGGCCATACCTCCCTTCTTCTACACTAAGAACATGAAGTGGCCCTGCAGAGCACTGGTGATGACTATACTTCTGATTTTTTTTTTGGAGTTGTAAACAGTAGGAGACCACCTGTTCAAAGCCCAAAATCTAACATGCAAAATGTAACATGAAATTGTAGCGTGACATGCAATTATGGTATTTGTGGTGTTGGAATGGTGAGGAGTAAAATTATAATGATATCCTAATATTAGGTGAAAAAGGCAATGAGGAGGATTTTCCATCAGACAAACAGAAACTATGAAAAAACCTGTCGACTGGCTGCTGCTGGAATTCTGTTGGACAATGAGCCTTTGCCCATGGACCTCACCAATATCTTGCTGGCCACCAGACAGCTGGAAGCAGAAATGTCAACATTTTTACTTTCGAAAATCCAGACCAGTTTACATTCTTACCATCACCCAGCCTGGTTAGTATGGAGACCGGAAAGTACTAAGTGTCACTCAGACCCAAATTCCTTTTTTCCTTTGTCCTCTAGAGTCACTCCATCACCTTCTTTTTCCCATTTTTCCTTCTCCTCACCATTCTCTCTCTTCATGGTCATCTGTTAATCTTTTTTGTTATTTTTTCCTTTAAGCAAACTAAATTGATTTACGTTCCCAGCTTTGTTGCCTCAGTCCAGTGTTATTCCTTGTGTGATGGCCAGTTGAAAGCAGTAAACAATATTATATGGAACCCCAAAATGACAGTGTAAAACATAGAGGTGTTTGGAAGCCAAACCCCAGGTTTGCAAGACATATGAGCAATGATATCAGACTCTCCAGATTCTCAAAAAGAAAATCAACAAATCAACAGCTGACTGAAATGCAAAAGTTATTGAGCTAGGCAAATAGTGGTAGAGTGAAGGAACTCAGTCTATTTGGCTTAACAAAAGAGAAGGTTACAGGGTAACTCGATCACAGATTGTAAGCACGTACATGGGTAACTGATATTTGGTAATGGGCTTTTTAAATTTAGCAGACAAAGGATAGTAAGATCCAGTGGCTGAAGTTTGAAGCAGAACAAATTCAAACTAGAAATAAGATGTAAATTTAAGGAACGGGAGGGGGGTGGATTCTCCCTCAGGAGCATTTTTATAATCAAGATTGAATGATTATGTTAAATTATTTGTGGGGAGCTCTGTGTCCTGTGATATACAGGAGCTCAGGTCAGATTTTTGCAGCAATCCCTTCTAGACTTAGAATCCATGATATATCACACCAATGTATTTGAATACATTTATTCGGGTAAAAAAGTGAATCCAGTGCAAAGGTATTCACAATCTCTTCATTTATTTTCTGCAAACATTTATAACAAGCAGCTTTTCATTCACAAAGATATATGCAGAAAGGGAAAGTGTTGTAATGCTCCAGTGAACAGCTATTCACAGGAGTGTTCGCGTAGCCATCCTGAAAGCATCCAGTCAGGAAAGAAACAATACCACAGTCACCTGCATTACTATTACACCCTTGAATAGTAAATTGGAGAGAACTGTTAATCAAAGCAGTACTCGGGATAAGTCATTTGTAAGCAATTCACAGGCCAGGATATGTTGGCAGAAACCAGTACTTAAATCATTCTGAGTAACAGACTAATTCATTAAAAAAGTTTGCAGATAATTCAATAATAGAAGAAGATTGGCCTGTGTGAATACTTCATCCAGCACTAGCACATCACTTTCTCTTCTTGTAGGAACATAACTACACTCAGACCCAGGAAACCCTGAGCTAGGGAAGGTTTTTATACCACTTCATAATTCCACTCTGCTCTACTGTCTCACCCTCATTTTCTTCTTCTGTCATGCTCCATGTTCTTTTGTTCTTCTGTTCTTCTTGTGCTGCAGAGCCACTAATTATAACCACTATGAAGGCTCAAACTTATACATGTCATTAATAGTTGCCCATGCCATATGGGATATTACTAAGCTATTTTCTCCCTCCCTAATGCGATACAAAAGAAGAGAGAGATTATAAAGGAGTGTGTTTAAGTATAGCTATTTTCATGCCATTTAAGCTGTTCTTAGTGTGTCCTTTATACTATGTATAATTAAGTGCATATCTCCTGCCTTGTCTATAAAACCTTCCAAAAAAGCAGCTGTCTTTTCTGAGTTGCTTTAGATTCAGACACTAGATTTTCCTCTTTTTCTGTCCCACACATACACGCCTTTTCCTACTTTTTTTTCTCCTAGGAAAGCAATGAAAGAAATTCTGAAAGATCCACACATCAATAATTACAACTACCTCTCCAAACTGGGCAGTTCCTCTTCTTTCTTGGGACCATTGGCAGGTGACAACATGGACAAAATTATGTTTAAGCTCATCTCAAAAGGCTAAGTGAAAGGACCTGTAGGCAGAGCCTACTTTTGGAATCCATTGTCAAAGGGTCCTGGGAGTTACAAGGGATCTTTAACTTGTCTGACAGTCCCAAATTTTACATGAGGTGCAGAGAGTCCTCTGTATGTGTTCTCAGATGTCTAAGCACACTGGCTATTTCTCCACTCCCTGTATTTGTGTGTAGTTTAAGAGCAATGGAAAGGAAAGGAGATGGAAAGATATGGGAGGGAAAGTAACTGTTGTGGTAGGGCCATCCCAATCCTAAAGCGGCTCTCCATATATAGAGCACAAGGACTCCTTTATGAAGTGAGGCACAGAAGCAGTCAGACATGGACACACACTGGCAGAGCCATTGTTCTTGATTCCTTACAAAGCCTATCAGTGCCACTCTGCATCTGGCTGATAGGTTTGTGTGGAGGCTGTTGTTCAACCTCAACACTTCCTCCTGTTCCCATCACCCAGACACACCTGTTTTTGACCTACTACTTGTCAAAGGACAGCCCCACCTGGAGCACCCTTCTGGGACAGCCACAGCTTGCCAAATAAACCTGCCTCAGTTTCCCCTTTTAGAGACTCCAGTAACTCTATATCAGGTTCTCTTACTTAAACAACACCCCTACCACACGCAGGGCATATAGTCCTTAACGCCCCATTCTTCCCAGCAGGCCATCCCCCACACCAGTCTCTGCTGGAAATATTTCCATGTCATACTCCAGTGTCTTCCACCACACCTGGGCTCCTTGTGAGTCCTCTTCTCTCTGTCTGCCAGGACACACACATACACACCGAGCCCTTCCAGCTAGAGTTGCACCCCACCTCTTCCCATTTGGAACACCCACAGCCTTTCTGCTGGGAGGGATCCACACCAGGGGATAATCCCTGCTTCCCCTGCCCTCTGACTCTTCTGGTAGATCTGCAGCATCCCTCTTATTTCAGCTCCTAGGTCAGATTGTTAATTGATTATGTGTGGGATGGTGTTATTCATCTACCATAGCCTGGAAGCTATTGAATTCTAGTGATGTGATCTGAATAAGGTTAGTAAAAGTCTACAGACACATCTCTGATTTTTCCAGGAACCCACCAAGTTATATAGCAAGGTAATTTCCCTGCACCCTCCTCAGAGCTCTTCACTAATTTGACACTTTGAACACAGAAGGCCACACTGGTCTTCTCTGCAATTCCAATGCCAACATTTTCAAACCTTCCCATTACATTACATGGGAGGCCTCCAAGCTCTTTATTGTCCATTCAGATAATTTCAGTGTGTCCCTCCTCTTTTAGCCAGTAGTGGGATATTTTAAAATAGTGCTGGCTGCTGTACAACTCCCCTTGCTGGTGCCTCTTTCTGTCTTTCAGTCACCGAGGACATGCTGTCCACTTTCAGTCTGGAGCTGCTATTCATTGGCTCATGAGGGAGAGCGTCTCTGGTTTCTTGCTACAAAGCCATGGCCACCAGCTTCAGGCAGCTCAGGTCTGCTATTAGCTTTTGTCTCCAAGGGTGAAACACTTTTAAAATGCCTGAGCAGCAGATACACATGCAGGAACTTGGAATTCCCGCATCATGCCAGCACATTAAATATCTCCTCTCTCACCTTCCTTGTAGACCTGGTGGTTCCTAGTATTTAAGTTCATGTATATATTCTAAAGCCTCCAGAACATCAGCTGCATCTAGTCACACATGGAAAGCTTAATGCCTTAGCTGTTATCTGTGTTATTCACTGTTCTGAAGTAGGAACCAGGACAAACCTTCTGTTTGACATTTTAAGAGTATCTCTACTGACATTTTCTCAACTTGGCTAAACGTCCCACACAACAACTTTTTTTTCATCTTCCATCTATGGATATATGGGCCCATATCTTCACCTGTTGTAAATCAACTTCATTCCATTGACTTTGATGAAGTTGCACCTATTTATGCCAGCTGAGGATCTAGCCCATGGCATCTTCAAAAAGACTGGAGCAGAGACACTGCTGTTATAAATAATGATGTTTGTAAATTTACTATTGCAAAGACTGAGTGAACTCCTGGCCCTAAAGTCAATTGGAGTTTTAACATTAGTAGGTCACCCTGAGCTTGGGTGAAATCTGGAAGCTACTGAGTGCCCCCATATTCTGAGAAATTTGCTCGCATGCTCATGCTTTAGTAAGAGACAATTTTACATCATGGTCTGATCCACACTTTACACAGTGCAAAGAGATCTGCCCCTCCCCCCCTAAGATTTCTGTGGATCTGAAACCCCTCCAAGGCTGTGTCTACACTCGTGGCTTCTTGCAGGAGAAATATGCAAATGAGGCTAAGCGTGGAATATTGCCGAGCCTCATTTGCATACCTAATGAGCCGCCATTTTTGCGGGCTCTTGTGCCAACTGTCTACACTGCCCCTTCTTACGCAAGAAAAACCCTCTTGTGCAATGTCATTATGCTGATTATTTTCAGTAGGGTTTTCTTGTGCAAGAAGGGGCAGTGTAGACAGCTCCTTCTGGCGCAAGAGCCTCTTATGCAAAAATGGTGGCTCATTAGATATGCAAATGAGGCTCAGCGATATTCCGTGCTTAGCCTCATTTGCATATTTCTCGCACAAGAAACCGCGAGTGTAGACATAGAGTAAGATTTCTATGGTGCTAATCACTCTGTAGGCTTAATTATAAATGAAATTTTTATTTTTATCTATTTATTGTACTTACATGCCCACCACACAAGAAACCGCGAGTGTAGACATAGTGTAAGATTTCACTGTAGTACCAAAGCATCTGATCATCTTTAATATATTTATCCCACAACACCCATGTGAAGTAGGTAGCTACTATTCTTCCCATTTTACAGATGGGGTACTGAGGCACAAAGCACTCAGGGACATGCCCAAGATCACTGTGACAGAGCAGGACACTTTACCGTGTCACCCAAGTCCCCAGCTGGTATCCTAACCAGTGGACATCCCTCCTCTCTACTTTAATTAACATCCTTCAGAGAAACAATATAAAATACTAGAACCCAATTCTCCCCTGCTATGACACCTGTATTATTTGCACTTGTCCAAAATGGTGTAAAATGATACCGAATCAGATCAATAGTATTTAGCAATCACTTTGCTTGGCTGTAAATGACTGCTCGAGAGACAGGCCAGTCTTGTACCAGGCTCACTAGGCTTTAAATGCAATCACCTTCCCATTCAGTAGGCCCATGGGCAGCTGTTACTTGAATCAGTAGTACACGGATGTAAAACTAACTACTCCCAATGCAAGTGTTTCTATCAGCACATCAATTGAGTTACCCTCAAAAGGCAGGGGGGTGTTTTTATCCAGCTTTCCCCAATGGAAGTAGTGAAAATCAACCCTGGAGAAAGCCTCGCCCTGTGCAGCACATTTTCTCCACTTATGTATTTTAGGTCTCTCTTGAAGCCCAGGGGTTGGATGCTGTGCTGGGAGAGAGTGGCACTGAAGGAGAAGAGGAACAGGAGCTGATGGCTGGGATGTCCGCCATTTTCTTCGATGTCCAGTTACGGCCAATTGTTTTCTTCCGAGGTTATGCAGATTTAATGGCCAAGGTCCTCTTAAGCAGTGGAGAGCCAACCAGCGTGGTGAAAGGGAATGTCCTGCTGATGGATCATGAGCAGGTAATGGTCATATGGTGTGCATCCAAGCTGCCTGTGAACGGGCACCATGGTATACTGCAGCTCAGTGAATATCCAGCTTGCAATCAGTTGCTCATGCCCGATACTCATGTGCGTGTCAAATCTAGCCAAGAGTGTCCTTGATCAAAGGATGTGACGTATTGGCTGAGTTGGTTCTGAGAAGTGGATTCCTCACCTGGCTTCCATCCTGCCTTCCCTTGCCCAGGCCACCCGGCGTGGGAGCTCAGCACAGTCAGTGTCCCCACTGGCCAGCAGCTGTTGAGCATTTTTGGATGAACATCTATGATCAAGAAAGGTGCTTCTCAAACCTAAAAAAATACTTTTTTTCCTATTCTTCAGGCAATTCCACTTCAGTCGGGGCTGCAAACCGTGGTTAAACTTCAGGGGGCACTTGGATTAGATATTTCTGCAACCATTGATATGAATATATGGGAGCAAGAATCAAGAACCAGCATCAAAACAAGGTAAATGAGAGAAAACTTATTTAGTCTCTGAACACTCTGGTTGGAGACTAAAATACTTTTTTTCCTATTCTTCAGGCAATTCCACTTCAGTCGGGGCTGCAAACCGTGGTTAAACTTCAGGGGGCACTTGGATTAGATATTTCTGCAACCATTGATATGAATATATGGGAGCAAGAATCAAGAACCAGCATCAAAACAAGGTAAATGAGAGAAAACTTATTTAGTCTCTGAACACTCTGGTTGGAGACTTAGGGCGGAGCCATATAGACGAGTTTATTGGACATAGGGAAATGAAGCTGCGATTTAAATAATTGCTGCTTCATTTACATAAAAATGGCCACCTTGCTGTCCCTATCAGCTGTTTGGCGGCACAGCACGGTAGTCTGGGCACGCTGCGGTCGACAAGGGAAGCCTTTGTTAACCGCTCCGGTAAACCTCATTTCATGAGGCATAACAGAGCGGTCGACAAGGGCTTCCCTTGTCAACCGCGGCACGTCCAGACTGCCCCGCTGTGCCGCCAAACAGCTGATCGGCACAACGTGGTGGCCATTTTGATATAAATGAAGCGGCGATTATTTAAATCGCCGCTTCATTTTCCTATGTCTAGTAAACTCATCTACATGGCTCCGTTGACGGAGCCATGTAGTCTAGACATACCCCTACTGTCAATTAGAACAGCCTAGGGCTGCTCCAAATAGAACAGATCTAGGGCTGCTCCAATTTTTGTAACAGCCCCAAGGGGCTATTTTATAGATTGGCCAGAGATAACTAGAGCTCCATGCTCTTCAGCCATCACTTCTCCACCAAATACACCAGTACACATTCTATACTGGGGTGAGGGAGCAGCATAGTGTCTCCTATACCTTTTTGTCAGCTCTGAGAGCTACACCTGTTACACACTCCTAGAAACCTACCCCAATGAACCAGGGATCTCACAAAAAGAAGTTAGCAACTTCTGAAAAGATCTGCCTCCCTATGAACATAGACACCTGTCACTCATCACTGTCTTTAAGCTCCCATAGCCTGTACTTGAGATCAGGCTAAAAGCCTCACCTGGACAGATGGGTTTAAATAACATTTTTCGGCACTTCCCCTTCCTTCAGGATCAGGAAGCACCACACAGCTAAGAAATAATGAAATTGTAGAGTGCCAGGATTGCACAGACACCGTGTTCAGTGACCGAATTTATGCTTTTCCCATTGCAGGGGTGGACTGGCCATTGACTTCACAGCAGAAATTGATGCCCCTTCCTTTCAAGCCAGTGTGAAAAGCCAGACAGAGGCAGAAGCCTCAATCAATTTTGATACAGCAGTTAGATTTTCTGGAAGTCCTGTGCTCATGTGTCTGCAGCTAAGGGAGGAGCAGCTCCCTTACAGGTAAGCTGAGATATTCTAGTCCAGGATCTGCTAGGTGTGGTTTTCTATTCAGGGACAGGGATTAGAGCACTCCTCCCATCAGAGACACTCTCACACCAAACATAGTGTTTAGTTTGTGACTCCAGTGGCAGTAAAGGTGTGGAGGGAAATCATGCACTATTTCCCCCCATCTTCCTGAACCAAGAACTCAGTTCAAAACTTTGACAATAGTGCTGACTACTTCCAGCAGTGCTTGGCCTTCCACACTGTCGTGAGCATCTGAGATATCCAGGGACACAAAAGCTAAGGGTACAAGAGGGGAAGCCATTACGAAAGCCACTTCTCACTTTCCAATAAGAATCAAGTTATTTATTGCCCTGTTTCATTTGTGTGTGATAAGGGTTGTCCAGAATTGGACTTAAAGCAGGTTTTGATTAGTCCTTCCATCAGGAGAGGTCAGTAAAGGGTTAAAGAAAGCTTTGGATGATGCTGGAGAGTTAGTCAGCCTAAGGAGTATTAAGATGGAGCCCTGTGCCTAGAAGAATGTCGGGCTGTCTTTTACAGGACTGTGGTGATAAACCTCTCTTGTACTGTAACTGCTGGGCCTAATGCCAGTATTGATCTTACCCCAGATATAACATCACTGTTTTCTTAGGCTGCTGCTGATAAATCCTTCATTGCTCCTTCTTGACATAAATAAATGTCAAGCAGTTTGTTGCTGCTGTTTGACGTCAGGGGCAGACACCGGGGCACTGTTCCCATGACTTATGAACTAACTCAGACTAACAGGGCTGCATATAGCTGAGCTGTCTGAAATACTTACAATAATAAATGGACATGCTCCCATAGAATAGCCCTGGGCCTCTTAACCACACCAGTGATACCACAGGGACATGAAGGGAACCTCATCTACAGGTCACACCTCAAAACCAGGCAATTAGAGGAGCCCTTTGAAGAGTGAAACTCTTGAGGAGTTATTCATTTCTCCACAGCTTTTCCTGAAAGTCCTTGCCTCTTCCACCCGAGGCCCAGACAAGTGTCAGAGATCAACTTGTTCTCTAAGAATCTTGCCCATTTTAATCAGGTGCTGGGAGCAGAAGGATCACTTCAGACAGCAGTGGTTCATCCTCCCATGGAAACAGTTAGGCCCCATCTGCATTACTGATGAAACTATCCGCAAAATTTCCCTGCCCAGTGTGGTGAAATGTTGGGAAATGTCTTAGAGTGTGTTAGTTAACCTGTGCTAGAGATTAAACTCACAGCACTGTTGTATAACATGGATAGAATAATGATTTCAAGGGGCAATATATCCCCATTGTTAAAAAAAACACCTGCCAGAATGTGTCATAACATCCCAATAGATCAGACTTTTAAGGAATGAGTGAGGTATGAATCTGCTCGCGAGCTGCACTGTCCGGTGATCTGCGCATGCGCAGATTGTTCTGTACATGCGCAGATCGCCCGAAACTGGCTCTTCCAGGTTACAATCTACGCACCACGGGTGAGTAGATTGTATAATTTGTCAAGCCCTGCCCATCAGAATGGAGCAGACTGATTTGAGCAGACAAGTTGGGTCCAATCTTGTATTTTCTAAAGTCTCCTAACTTCTGATGTTCTTTCTTATTGTTCTGCCCAACAGAGAAATCTTTACAACCTCTGAATCATCACTGAACCAAAGCATCACTGTTCGCAAGGGGAGACAGGGTACTATTGCTGGTCGCGAGCTTCCCTTGCACAAGGCCAACTCTGAGATGTGCAAGATCCTATTGACAGAGGCAAAGGAGCAGTAGAGGAATCAATGTGTGCTAGGACTGGATTTATCCTTCCTCCCTTTTCCTTGGTTACAACTCTCAATGAGCTGCATTCCATGAGCCAGACCAGGACTGATATGGGCAGCCCAGAGCCCTTTCTGGTTCACACAAGCGTCTGCTTTTAACTGACATGAAAAATGAGTGAACCTATTGCAGGGAAATATACTGAAATCAGGACGCCAAAAGTAGTGGGACATGAATTCCTACAGTCCATCAAGAGAAGTCTCTTGTAAAGGGCTCACTCTGAAATGTGCAAGATCCTATTGGCACAGTCAAAGAAACAGTAAAAGAATTAACATGTTCTGGGTCTGACCTTTAGAATCCTTAAGACAGCAAGAAGGGGAAAAGAATTTGCATTATCATGAACTCTTCCCTGAGATGCTCATGCTCCAGATGGGATGGTCCCTTAGAAGCAAAACTGGGCCACCATAAGTGTCACAGCTGAGTCCCTTTATTTTGAGAGTCATAAGGTGAATTTCAGCCAGTATTACAAAAGTGTGCTGAGAGAAGATACCCAGAATGGAGAGCCAATAGACACATTTCTTCCCACTTACCTGAGCAACTGCAATCAAGTTAGCTTTTCCAGAGAGACTGGTCAAAACTTCCAGGGACTGAGGAAACTAATGGAATCCAATGTTGCAAGATTTGGTAACTGTAATAGGGTTCCATGTGAAAAAGGGGAGCTTCATTTTTAGGGGTATTTGATTTTTGGGGAAAAAGCAGTAAGACAAAAAAGCTGAACATTCTGTGAGCAATTATACATTTCTTTTGGTATAATTAAAAGTGTTTGTAACTGAAGAGGAGTTTCTCAGTTCTCTCACAACTAGAACTTCTTCTACTTAATCCTTCAGTGACATCATGCTCTGTTGCCAGGGAAATGATGATGTCACAAATCCAGAAAGAAAAATGAGGCTGAGAGTGGCAAATCCTTTGTTTAAATAGGGTGAATTCACCTCTGGCATAACTTCTAACTTTTGACCCACACAGCTTTCAGGATTAGAAAGAATAATTAAACACATTATAGAAAATTAATGTAAAGTTAAATAGGATTGTGCTTAAGTAAGGGTATGTAGACACTACAGTGTTATTTCGAAATAAGTTATTTCAAAATAGCTTATTTTGAAATAATGCATCTACACAAAAAATAGCGCGTCCACACTGAGTGGATGCTGAATCGCATTTAAGGCCAGATGGAACCAGGTCTGGCAGGGCATCAGGTCAGGGGTGTCTTTGTGTGGCTGCTGCCTAAGGCTCTCTCAGGCCTGTGCTTAAAGGGACCCGCCTCTCGACAGCCGGTACTCAGGTTTCCTTGCTTGCTTGCCTACCTCAATGAGGGACAGCAAAGCATTTTGTCTCTGCGTGCTCTGGTTGCCCTCACTCGGAACACCACAGCACTCTGCAACATGGAGCCAGAGCTGCCCCTGGGCTAATGGACTTATTTTTCCACACATGCGAACAGAATGAGAATGCAGGTAGAAAACAACTACTTTCCCAGCAGAAGCCAGAGAGCATGGTGTCCTGGAAGCCAGCTATATGTAACATTATGAGGAGCTGAATAGGAGTTAGCTTTACAGCTTCAATGTTAAGAAGTTCCAGAGGGCTGACGCTAAATTCTCACAAAATTCCAAAGCCCTGCAGGAGCTCTTCTGCTCTGCATCTATGGAACTGAGGAGCCCCAGGAGAGATGACCATAAATCCTGTGAGATTAGGAGCTTCACAGGCCTAACCATCCCAACATTATCCCAGAGTCTCCCATTTTGTGAAGGGCTTGGATGCCACTCAAGATGTTGGTAAAATGTTCATTTTCTGAGCAGCTCAAACTTCTCAGATTATTGGGTAATTTGCACTGAGTAGGCCCAAACTCATATAGAGTAATTGCAGTGTAACCTGCTGCTTTCTCTAAATGGCAGAACTACCCCGTGACCATGGCTATGTCTAGATTACACTGATCTATCAGGAAAAGGTACGCAAATTGCGCTCAACATTGGGCCAAATTTTGGAAAAGCCTCCTCTTTCAGAAGAGCCCTTCTCCCTCATGGAAGGAGGAAGACAGGGCTTCCAAAAGAGCGCATTTGCTCTTCTGCAAAAAAAAACCAGGAGAGTAGATGAGTTCCCTGAACACGGCGGAGTTTTTCCAGGATACCTACTATCCCAGAAAACCACAGTCATGTAGACATAGCCTGTGGAAGGAAGGAGCATGTGTCACTTGTTATATTTCTAGACTTCTGGGCTTCAAATTGCTTTCAAATTCAAGTTATCTATCAATAAACTGTGTCCCTTTTTGAGTCTCATTTACTTGCCACTCCATCTTTAACTTTTCCCTGTATGGCCCTACACTCTCTCATCATCAACAGCTTTAATGCCGGCCAGCTTGATTCTCTGGTTCCAATTCTGCTTTCCTGTCCTTCCCTTTTGAATTAAAGCACCTCAGAGCTCCACTGGCATGTGTCATTGTGCTTAGCTACTTCCCTGGAGCTGAAGTGTCAGCTGCTAATGACACAATTCTGTGGTGAACCCTGCCTGTAACTGATTCTATGAATTGGCAGCCACAGTAGGCAGCCACAGCATGAGACCTGAGTGGGTTTTAATTCATATCTGAAGCCTTATTATTCTGCAAGGTGCATGGGGAAGATTATTTTGATACCTCAGTTGAAACAGAACAGCAAAGGGTTAAATGATCATACTCCTTCACTACCAAACCAAACCAATCAACAGAATGGTCTGGTTGCCAGATGTGAACATACTACTTGAGCGTATTTCCAGAGTTTCACCTTCTTCCGAGTTTCCTTTAACTTCCCATGTGTTCTCCTGGGATTTACAGAGGCCTTTGCAGCCCAGCTGAGGAGCTGTAGTACCTGCAGTCAAACAGGAAATTACATACATAGCAGCACATTCTTGATTAAAAATATAATTATGTATACACTGGGGCCTCTAAAGTGGAAGAGTTTAAGTGGTTACCCTGAAAAAAATGTGTCACTTTTACCCTAAGGAAATATAATTTCCTCAATATCTGCAGCATTCCCTGCTCTGAAACAATCCTTGGCGCTTCATAGTTAAGATTGCAGCTATTACTGCTGTTTAAATATGTATTTAAAATACTTAAGGCCATACCTTGACAACTGCAAAACGTGAGGACAAGCTATTTAATAGCAACTGGCAACTGTTAAGAATGGCCACTGTCTGCTGGAGTGAGACAGGAGACACTGATTGTCTCCAACAGTACTCTGAGGGGCTGACTGGACTTTAATGGTGATGTACAGAGGCAGCCATGTACCATGGTGCACAGCCAAAACTTCAAGGAGAAGAACTTCTCTGTCTCTTTTGTTACTGATGTTTTTAGAGCTGTGGCAGTCAGAGCAAAGCTCATTCAGATCCTGCTGAGTTCAACTGGCACCCAGAAGCACGTTCACTTTCCCTGATGCTTTGTCCTGCCTTGGTCCTACAACAATTACCACCATCACAGAGTTAAGGCCTTGACTAGCCACACATCCATGTAACAGTTTCAAGTTGACCCCTTCTGGTCACACAGGTGTGTATAACACTGGTAAACCAGGTGCCAGTGCTAGCCAACGCTAGACGCGTCATCTGAGCACTCACAAAATCATAGGTGGAAACCAGACCAGCTCACCTAAATATTAGTGTTGTTCAAGATAGGTGATAGGCTTGCAAGAATGTATTTAGAATGCTAGATTTCTTAATGGGTAAACAGAAGCGAGACAATAGAGACTGACTATGGGTGATGTTTCTTGAATGAGCTCACAAGGCAAGTAGGCAGTTTCAGTAGTTTGGATATCAATAGGATCCATTACTAGAACTGGTCTGGTAATGACTAATTTGGGTGTGAGCAGGCCTGGGTTCATTAGCATCTGGAGCAGAGATTTCCCATCAGGCAGTGCTTCTCTGCTTTTGGTATCCCACAGTTAAGTGTGGTTCCTGCTTCGGAAGTGCTGTTCTCCATTCTGTATGCTAATGGAAATGTCTCTCTGTTCTATCTTCAATGCAGATGAGGCTGGGGGATTTCCTTAATTATATCACCCTTGTCTATCACTTTGCCTTGCGCTGCCCTTTGGAAATGTTGCCCTGGTGCTTCAAAGGGGTAGCACTGCATGGAGCCCGAGGTCAGCTGGGGAGGAGCACACAATTAAGTGCAATTAAATTTTGTAATTGCTTGACAGACCTAATTTCTCCAAATTACCTCCAATTTTTGACATTTGCTGATCCTGAGGATTGCAGAATTACAGAGCTTTTACCCCAGCATTAAACTTTATACAGGAGTGACTTTGTGTGCCTGTATGGAGCATAGAATTAATGTTATTCTCCTCACACGAGAAGTCTCAATACTTTGAATAATTCAATACCTTCTCAGTATTGGCTAGTGGCCAGACTTTTGTAATAACCAATGTTATGTTCATCCTGAGACTTGTAAGAGAGACTACAGGGGCTCATCACAAATGAAACCCAAGGGCTTGTAGTGAAAGTTGAGTCCAGTCAACAGTGTTTTGTTATATCTAGACAGTGGGTATAGGGTAGGCCCATCTACATTTGTAGATAGGAGCTATTTGTACTCTTCTTTTGACTTACTGGTTGGAGAGGCAATGGGATTATATATAAAGCTACTAAATAGAAACTGTCACATCATTGTTGGGAACTTGTTTTAAGAGCAAGTTTTTAAAAATGCTTTTCAGCAAGTCAGCATATAGATAGTGACAGACTCCTGAGAATGGTTTTCATAAACTGATTTTATCAAGTTGTATCCCAACTCTACTGACCAATACAGCCAAGATCACTAAAGATATTTTTATACATTGCACTAAAAACCAGTTTCTTATCATGGTAAAAACTGTGATGTAGATTCAGGTGCCTGTTTGTCAAAACTAGGCTTCTGTAAGCTGAAGTGTGGCTATTGTGGAAGAAGCTTTTCATTCTGTTTTATATACTTGGTTGGATTTCAGGAAAATTTGGTTATAGAATGCTGGCATGATACTATGTGAGGTGACTGGACCAATCAGCATATTGCTGATATTGGTTTATTTGACTATTAATGCTATTGCTTAAGAAGCCACCTGTTTAAATGGTTTTCCACTTTAAAGATATTTTATTCCACAGTTGTGATGCCATGACCCTGACTCATAGGCCTCTAAACTCAGTGATGGGAAAACTGGCTTAAATGGGTAGCTGGCAATGGGATAGAATCATAGAACTGGAAGGGACCTCAAGAGGTCATTGTGTCCAGTCCCCTACCCTCACAGCAGGACTGAGCACTGTCTAGATCTGTCTAACCTGCTCTTAAATATCCCCAGTGATGGAGATTCTGAAACTCCCCTAGGCAATTTATTCCATTGTAGAACCACCTTGATTGTGAGGCAGTTTTCCTAATGTCCAATTTAAGCTCATTGCTTCCTGTCCCATCTTCAGAGGCCAAGGAGAACAAATTTTCTGCCTCTTCCTTATAACATCTAAAAACCACTATCATGTCCCCGTTCAGTCTTTTCTTTTCTAAACTAAACAAGCCCAGTTCTTTCAATCTTCCCTCATAGATTATGTTGTCTAGACCTTTAATCATTTTTGTTGTTCTGTATCTACATTGGAGATATCCCCAAGTACAGGTGTTCAGGTCTGGACTTCTCCAAAAGTTGGAGAGGATTCAGACCTGAGCTAAAGGCCCATCAGTGTACACTGTAGTGCCCTCCCCCCGCCTCTCTGACACCTCACAGATCCATCATGTATTCTGATTCCTTATGAAACACTAGGGTATACTGGCAAACTAGGGAGGCTTTGGAACTTTCCTGGACAAGTAC